TTTTAAAGTATTACTCATTCAAAAACAGAACAAATAATTGTTAACAAGTCTATGCAACCCCCCAAAACTGGAAAATATACTTGTAGTATATATGATAGACAATGCTAATATTCATATTGTATAAATAGCTTTCTAATAGTGAACATCTCAACAGAAAAATGAGTAAAGGATAGAAACATATTTTTAAAAAATCCAAAAAGAAACATTTTTTAATGTTTAATCTTAACAAAGAAATGTAAATGAAGAAAAACAGCATTTTTTTAATCCTCCACATTAGGCAAAGATTTTTTTTTTTTAAGTAACACCCACCCTGGCTATTGTGGCTCAGTGGATTGAGTTCTGGCCTGCAAACTGAAAGGTTCAACTCCCAGTCAGGGCACATGCCTGGGTCGCAGGCCAGGTCCCCAGTTGCGGATGTGCAAAAGGCAACCAACTGATATTCTCTCTTTTTCTCCTTCCCTTGCTTTCTCTTTAAAAATAAATAAAAATCTTAAAAAGGAATAAAAATAATGCCCAATAGTAATGCTGTTACCAGACAGGGACCTGGCCCTGAGTGGGTCTGCCTAGGACCAGATCTAGTGTGTGGGTTCTTGACTTGGTGTAGGAAAGATTTCACAGCATGACTATGAGGGTACATTTATTAAAGCTGGGGGCAGTGAAACAAGGAAGGGCCTAGCATAGAAGCAGCAACAGGAGAGCCTAGGCTGGCTGCTTTGGTTTCCTGGAAAGTCAGAGAAAAGGGGGCCTTGGAGACAGGTTCAGGGGCTTAGCCCAGGACAATCTGCAGCTATATATCACTCCCCTGGTTGCAAGTCTTGTGAGGTCACTTAGAGTTTAGGAGGTGCACGCCTGTGGGCAAAGGAAGGGGGAAAGGGAAGAAAATGTTCTGGATCCTTTGTCTTGAAGGTTTTTCTTTTTCTCTCTCCCTCTTGCGGGCAGGAATCTTAGGGGGAGGTCTCAGGGGAGGATTTCAGCAGAATATTCATCAATTTTCAGGTGCGCTCTTTCAGGGTGGTGGTCTCTTCTGGTTGGTCAGTGCCAGAGTAAGGGGTCCTTAGTCATTGCAGCTGGTCCTCATGTCGTCCACCTAGTTTTGCTGCTTTCCTGGGCCTGGAGCTGAAATATAACTGAGGCCTAAATGTCATCTCTAAGGAGGTGACCTTATTTATCTGGCTGTAAATTGCTCAGTCAGTTTGTTCAACTATCTGTCTCAGTCTCCCCATTCCAAGGCATTTTCCTAGCTTCTTACCATTCTGCCTCAGTGTGGAACAGGGACATTAACGGACATTCTTGGTGGGAAATCAATCGTCACGATTTCTTCAGAGGGCAATTCTGTAATATGTATCAAAAGCTTCAAAGTTACTCATAATCTGTGGCAAAGTAATTCCACATCTAAAAGAGCTTTCCCTGATAATCACCGTAGTCAGAACAAAGGCACAGACTGCAAGGAGCCCGGTGTGGTCTGACACCATTTAATGCAGCCTCTAATCAGGCTCACCAGTGTGCTGAATGTGTCCTGAGGGGGTGGGGGTCAGGGTTGCCTCAGCAGGTCCCTTGAGGTGCCAGGAACACCCAGGACAGCTGACCCTAAGCCATCAGTGCTGTCTTGTTTGTGGATGACCGACTGGAAACCAGGAAGTTGGCTTTGCTGCCATCTAGTGCTCCCCAGGTAACTATGCCCAGCTGGCGAGGAAAACTCTTCCTCCCTTAAGAAACTTAGCACCAAGAGGCCCTCTCCTCTATTTTTATTTGAAAAACACTAATAAAGCATTTTTTCTTAAAAAAAAACAAAAAAACCCATCAGTTTGTTGTTCCATCCATTCATGCACTCACTGGCTGATTCTTGTATGTGCCCTGACCAGGCACTGGACCCATAACCTTGGTGTATAGTAACGATGCTCTACCCAGCTGAGCTACCCGGCCAGGGCTAATAAAGCATTTACTATGTTCCAGGCATTGTGCTCAGCATTTACTAACATCGTCTCTTAGTCCTCATAACAACCCTGTAAAATACGTTCTTCTATCATCCTCATTTTACAAATGAGGGAACTAAGGTAAAGAGAGGTTAGGTAACTTGTCCACGGTCACACAGCTCCTAAGTCGGTATGTCCAGGACTAGAATAAGTGGTAGACTGGCACTGGCACCAGGGTCTGTGCTCTGAACCACCTCCTTTGTGAGGGTCAGAGGCCTGGATGACACTCACCGCGCTCAGAGAGCGCCTCACAGCCCATGCAGCTACGGCTGCCCCTTTCCCTAGCACATCTGTCCAAATAAGTTCACACAGGGATTGAGTTCACCACCATCCTAGAGGCAGCCTCACCTGAGTCAGAGACAAACTCTGGCTTAGTCTGGATTCAGTGGATTTAAAAAAAAATTTTATTTGTAAGATATTTCATACTATATACACAAAGATATAAGAAATAACATAACAAATACTCAGTACCCACTAGCAGTTTTAAAAATAGAATGTTTCCAGTAATGGTACATCAGTGATGAGTTCCAGGGCACCAACTGGGCTATGAATGCAATGTGGCTTTTATAGCAATTCTTTTCCTTCCTAATAAACAGTCCTCCCCTAATTACAGTTAATTGTATCAGGACAAGCTGGAGACATCTACAGTTTGGGTAAGAAAGCAGTTGCTTCACAGTGGAGCTGAGAAAGCTTCTTGATTATTTGTTATGGTCTAAGAAAGTAGTGGCTCCTAACCAAGGCTGTGAACCCCTGGGCTCTGAGGGGTTATTGAAGGAATGGGAAGCCCAAGTGCTTGGCTAATGTAATTTGTACCCCAGATTTATGCACCTGGGGTCCTCTGGCTCCTTAGCACATCCTGGAGCCACAGCAAAGTTTTATCTGAGTGCCTTTCCCTCTAGGGAGAGGGTCCATTCCATCTTTTGTCAGCCTCAGAGAGGCCTGAGAGCTTCCAAAAAGGGCAATAATCATCCTCATTAGAAGAGGGGTTGGCCAATGGCCCACAGACCAGATTCTGGTCTGTATGTGTAATTTTTTTTTGCCCTCACCTGAGGACATTTTTTCATTGCTTTTAGAGAAAGAGAACAGGGGGAGGGAGAAGAGAGAGAGAAATATTGATGTGAGAGAGGAACGTTGATGGGTTGCTTTCTCCTACATGCCCCAACTGGGAGTGGAATCTGCCAAAGCCTGGGTATGCGCCCTCACCGGGGCCACACCCACAACTCTAGTCAGTGAGATGGCACTCCAACCCCCTGAGCCACACTGGCCAGGACAAAATTTGTGTTTTTTAAATTTTTTAAAAAAGATTTTATTTGTTTTTATTTTTATAGAGAGGCCAAGGGAGGGAGATAGTCAGGGAGAGAAACATCCCTGACCAGGAATTGAACCAGAGAACTTTTGCTTTGTGGGACAGTACCCAACCAACTGAGCCACATCAGCCAGGACAAATTTTTAATATTTTTAAATAGCTAAATAAATCAAGATTATTTCATGATGTGAAAATTATACAAAATTTAAATGCGTTCATAAATATTTATTGGAACACAGGCACTCTCATTCATTTCTATATTGCTATGCCTGTTTTTGTACTACACGAGCAGAGTTATATAGTTGCAACAGAGATGGAAAGCCTAAAATATTTACTATCTGTCCCTTTTCCAAAAAAGTTTGCTGATTAGATGGGACTAGATAATACGTCTTGTATACCTCTATTTTTTATTTGTGTGCATATGACATTGTGATTGATAAAGTATAAATTCATTTAAATATATATTTTTTATGTACCAGTAATGTAGTGAACATTAATCATCAGAACCCTCTTACAGTATGTGGGGAATTCCCACGTGTATGGGAGACTTGCTGAGAGAGCTGGCCTCCCCATTCCGAAGGCCGGAGTCTTCTTTCTCCCACCTCCCTCGCAGCCAGCACATGGAGATGTGACTTGAAATCAGCCCCCTAGAGATCCCAGCTATGGTTCTGAAGCTGGAGTGACTCACACAAAATAGGAGGAATAGAGGAGAGGTCATTCTGGCGGTAGTGGAGGCGACAACAGTTACACCTGACTTCCAAGAGTAGCAGGACCAACAGGATGGGGGCGCCTGCAGCACTGACCTATTTATTTCTGGTTGCACATCAGTGGTCTCCTCACCAGACAGTCCCTAAGGTGTGGTTTTGTCTTTGGTCCTGGCTGTCCAGCCTCCATCTCTGCCTGGCCAGGACAAGCCCAGTCACTGGGCGAGACTGAGCCTGCATCACCCACTGCCTGCAGCAGAGAGGGGCTGAAAGCAGAGGCCAGTAAGTATGCACTTCGAGAACAGAAGCTGACCCACCTTTGTATCCTCAGCACCTAGGATAGTGCCTGGTACTTGAAGAGTGCTTGCTGAATATCTGCCAGTCAGAGTACCAGTGCATGAGCTGGGGAGAGCGTACACTAGGGATCTCTGACTTCAGTGAACTCCAGCTACCTGAAACTGGCAATGAGGGTTTTGTGTATCAGGGTCTCATGAAAAGAGGATATAAAGGCAGCTGTGTTCTTCAAGCTCTACATATGGCTTCCTGAGTTTCCCAGACCATCATAGCTCCAACGATGAGAAATGGTCAGAACTTGGCAATTAGTGTGAATTTGACCCTGGGCTATGAGCCAGCCCAAGCCCCCTCAAATAATGCCTTCGTATCTTAGAAGGCAGCTGGCTAAAAACATGTGGGTATGCACATGTGTGCACTGGGTGGGAAAATATGGGACAGTGTGCACACCAAGTTTACTAGCTCTTGTCCTGGCCCTGGATCACAGGCTGCCATGAAGCAAGAAACTTAGTGTTGGTGCCAAGAACCTTTTCTGGTAGGTTTGTAATTTAGAAAGAAGTGAAATAGTGATGGCTAAAAATCAGCAACATCTCATTACTTCTGTATTTATTTATGTATGGTAGCTGACAGATTTTTAAGTATCTGTAAGAGATAAGCCAATGAGGACTTTTATAGCAAAAGGTCAGAAATTGATAGTGACATTTCCACAAAGCTAGTGCTCTGATGGATAATGCCTGTGGCTTCTCTGACAGCAGCATTTTTAACAATCTCAAAAGAGAGGGAGAACTCAGGGATAAAGCTGTGCGAAGACATCCCCACAGGGCAGAGCCTTAACAGAAGCCGAGACGGCTTAAGAGGACTTCCATTACCTGTGTGTGGTGTAAGAATTAGTTTTATTTTTGTCCCCTACTATCATTTGAAACTTTGTTATGATCTTCCTCTGTCAAGGGGTGAAGATTTAGGCAGACACATGATGTGTCAGTCTTCCTGTCACATTTAACCATATGATTTCATTGCAATAAAGTATCCAGTCTAGCCCTGGCTGGTGTGGCTCAGTGGACTGAGCGCCAGCTTGTGAACCAAAAGGTCACCAGTTCAATTCCCGGTCAGGGCACATGCCTGGGTTGTGAGCCAGGTTCCCAGCTGGGGGTGTGTGAGGTAACCAATGGATATATCTCCCTTCCCTTCTCTCTAGAAAATAAAATCTTTTTTAAAAAAATAGAGTATCTAGTCACATCTAATTGTCAAAACTACAAACTTGGCATGAACTCCTTTGCTAATGTGAGCTGGCTTCAGGCCTGAAACATATCACAGAGCAATGGGATGGAGCCCTTTGCTCTCTTCTTTCCTCTTTTTCAGTGCTAGCAGTTCTACCACTGCCTCGGAAGCTGAGCGAGGAACACTAGGGAGTAAGCAGTTCTTACTTACCTGGTTGGCTCTGTGCTCTCTGGGCCTGCATGGCAGTGGGAGCTGGCTTTTTCTTGGGTTCACACTTTCATGATCTTACCAGAAGTTCCTACTGCGCTCCCTTGACCCTGGCAGATGCATCAACACCCTAGCTGTTCACTCACTGTCTTGTCGTCAGCCCTTGGGCAGCAGGCAGTACATTCAAGAACCTTTCTGCTGAGGTCTCCTCAGCTCTGCTGACAGCCTGTTGGACAATATCAGGTATGACCCCACAGCATGGTCCACAGGAAGAATGCATGCACCCCTGGCCACGAGAAAGAACTATCCGCAAAATAGTTGGCTTTGCCTTTTTCTCACCCCATAGATTTCCTAGGCAGGAGAGGCATGCCAGCCTTAGCCCACTTTTGCTTTCTTTCTCAGTCCCAAGTCAGGCTCCAGTTTTCTGGGTAACCTAATTGCAGAGAACACATTTCCAAACTCTGAGTTGTCCCCTTGAATTCCTCCTCAGCCTGTGGTGGTAAAAGGAGTCACTTCCCTACCCTTCTGCCAAAATGGAGATTGGAACTCAGCACAGCCAACAGGTTTATCCAAAGAAATCTCTTCATCAATCTTCTTACCAAATCCTCTGTTCTCTCAAAACTTTCATTCTTGAAGTAGATAAAGGGACTCAAGAGCCATGAAACAAGCTCTCCTGTTTCCCCTTTAGTACCCTCAATTAAAATTGAGGGAGAAGAGTTCCATTCTAATAGGCTGTATGTTAGTTACTTATTGCTGCATAACAAATTACCCCAAAACTTGGTGGCATAAATAAACATTTATTACTGTTCACAGCTTCTCTGGGTCAGGAATTCAGGAGTGGCTTAGCTAGGCAGTTCCAGCCCAGGGTTTCGTGAGGCTCCAGTCAAGATATCGGCCTGCTGATGGCTGGAAGATTGCTCCCAACATGGGTCACTCACATGATTTGTAGGTTGGTGCTGGTTGTTAGTTACAGGACTCAATGCCTCTCCACTGGAATTCTGCACAGGGCTGCACCAGCGTTCTCATGACCTGGCGGCTGCATTCCCGTGGAACGAGCAACCCAAGAGGTCAAGGTGAAAGCAGCAACATCTTTTATGATCCAGCCTCAGAAGTCACATACTGTCACCTCCGATTCTTTATTTAGTCACATTGACCAGTTCTGATTCAATACGGAGGGAAACTACACAAGGGCAAGAATACCAGCAATCAAGGACCATTGGGGGCCATCATGGAGGCTAATTACCACACCCTGTTACTTAAAGTGACCATTATCCCCTAAAACAAACTGAACAAAGTAAGTTAACAAGACTATAAATATAGGTTGTTTTAATTAAAACTGCTTTGGGAAATTCTACATCTTCAAAATTATGTTTGCCGTCGGGCCCTCTCCACGTTTGTTCCTCATCTATGAGTGGGTCCAGGACTCTCCTTGAAGCGGGGCAGGGCCTCCGCCTGATCTTAAGGTTCCTTTTTGGTTCTCAGATCCCTTGTTCCACATAATAACTACAAACTAAAGCTTTGTAAATATCTTACAGTCAACATTTACATTGAGTTTACAATTCAATAAAACATTCTAAGATGGCCCTGGGCAGTGCAGTTCAGTTGGTTGGAGCGTGTACCTGGTCAGGACACATGCCTAGGTTGCAGGTTTGGTCCCTGGTCACCTACAAGGGGCAATAGATTGATGTTTCTCTCTCACATGGATGTTTCTCTCCCTCTCTCTCTCCCTCCCTTCCCCTCTAAATCAATAAGCATGTCCTTGGGTATGGACTAAAAAAAAAAAAATTCTAAGGTATGTCATTACAAGAATCACTTCTGTTTTATTTTACAGATTTAAATTGAATGCATTTGGGCACAGTAAATATTTGACATGAAAAGCAGTTGTATCAGAATGGGCATCAGAAAAATAGCAACTTGTTTTACATATAATAACTAGAAAATATTTTTGTCTCATCATTTAAGTGTTACAAATCCTGAGAATGTTATACACTGAACAAACTAGGTACTACCTTATATTAAATCTTGCATCCTTTAAAAAATGCTTTGAGGTATAAATCACCTATGTATTAGACATGAGTCTTTTACATTTTACAAAGAGTTTTAAACAAACATATCAAACAAAGTTCAATGGCTCTTAAAACAGCTATTAGTCAGGTTCAAGAACACACTGTTCCACAATTTCCCGTAGGTTGGGGTTCTCCATTGCAGCTGCCACTCGTTCTTTGTCATTTATCTGCTTGTTGACTGCAAAACACACAGATAAAAATTAGCAGAATTGTGTCAACATACAGCAACTAACAGTATTTTTCTTAGGCCATTAAAATAGAGAATTTAACTCCTTGAGACATTAATGCTGATTTTGGTTAATTATTCATAAATTCTGGAAGGGAGAGTTAACAAGAAACATATCCCCTGTAATCCTACTATTCTGCCAAAACTAGTTTCATTTCTTTCCTTCTAGTCTTTGTGCATATACATATTTCAATATGTCACACTCGGGGTGAATACAATTTTGAATACTGCTCTTTTTACCCCCTAAACCTATTTTTTAAACTACACAGTTACTTAACACAGCAAAAATTGTTAAGTGCTCTAAATTAATTATGAAGAAAAAAAAATTTAAAAAAATAAAAAATAAATTACAAAGACTATGCTACAAGGAACACCTTTAAACATATAGCCTTCTTTTTAGGAAGATTCTTCCAAGTGGGTTTTTTAGATTTGAGGATATGACTATTTTTATCATTTGAATGATATAACTGAATTATTTCCCAATTTTTTTTCTTTTTACTAATTTATATGTTCAACAGCAATACATGAGCTATCACTTTTGCAGAAATATCCGGTATTATTTAAAACAAAAACCAAATCTACATATACACATATAAAATGGGAGGTGAAAATAGTTCCAATTATTGTTGTAACTTGCAATTTCTTGATTAATAGTGGCATTCTCCCATGTTTATTTATTAGCTCGTCTTGTGTGAACTTTCTGTCTTTTTCTATTACTCTCCCAGGTCTTTTTTTTAACCAGTCTGCACAGATCTTCATATAATAAAGGTATTGGCCCCTATCAGTTGCCTGTAATTTGCTAAAAACAATTCTAATAGAAGAGGTCAAAAGACAGATGTCCATATTCTTAACATGGGCTAACTTTTCTGGGATCCTGCTAAAATGTCACATGTAGAAACCATATATATTCCTATATAAACAAATGCAATTCTTTCTGTTTCTTCCTACTACAATGTAGACTGCACAATGGCCAGGATGTATGTATCCCAAAGGTCAAATTGTGCCCACACTTAATAGAAAGCGCTCAATAAATACTTAAATAAAAAGATCCTTTAAAAGCAGTAATATTATGCTATTATAAAATCCCATAATTAAGTGGAGTTTCAAAACAAGAGCAGAGTTAGGGTACCTAAACTGTTTTAAATTAAGAGGTAGCCATCAGTTTATGGGATCTGAATAAATTTAATGCATGAGGAGTAAAATATTCTACAAGTTTAGAACTGTGAAAATAGGACATGGTTTTAGCGGTCTTCGTGTCGGTACCTAGGAAGTCTCCTGCACGGACTGTTTTGAAAGCAGTCGGCTTCCTTCCTGCTCTGTGACTCTCCTCTGTGTTTGTTTTTTTTGTGCATCTCCTGCTGTGTGTGCTTTTGAGTCACTCTCTTCTTCTGTAAGTATTACTGTTGCTCTTATTCTATTTCTGTCCCTTTCTTTGCCTTGTCTGCTGTTTTCCAACTGCTTAGCTTACTGGTAGTGATGAAAGCTAAGCACAACATGCACGTAAATGTACGTATTATTTGCACTCTATCACTTGTAGATAAAAGTCTGTTCTGTTTTTAATGTAACCCATAGGTTATATGGAACATTTTGCCTTTTGCTCTTCCCAAACCTTACATCTGTTATTTTTAAGAAGCTACTGATTGACTTCTCTGTGTAGGCCTGAGGTCCTCTATTAAAAAAGGTTCCCCACTCCCATTTTAACACATTAACCCAGAAAGACAACACCTACCCCAAGATTCCCTAAAATTTTGTTCACTAGATCTTTAATTTCAAGTACTCAACTCTCTATCCTGCCAGCAAAGAAAAGAATCAAGTCCTCTTCAGAGCTTCCGAGTCTAAGTTCCTAGAGCTGGATGTTCTTTATAGAGGTGTGACCACTGGCCTAAACCAGTTGATGTTCCCAGAGACTAACTCTAATTCACCCAGGGTCCTACTGAAAAAATTACTTCCATGAAACGCCTGTTTCCACTACTCAAGGAAGAACTAATAATTGATTCTGCACTTTTTGCAAAAGGCCCAATAGATACTTGGCTGGTAGAATAACCTGGTATCCAAAACGAAGTACTACCTGAGGTTGTTTTTAATAATGACTCAATATTCACTTACTGTCCTCCTCTGTTGAGTGGGTTCCTTCAGAAATGTAGATTTCCAACTAGGAAGAAAAAATATTAAAAGCAAAACATTTAAAGCATTCTAAAATGAGGAGTGGGTGGAATATATAATGGATTTAAGATTAGGAGTCTAGGGATAAAAGTCCAAATCCTGTTTCTACCACCAAAGACTTAGGAATGAATCCCTCAGATTCTTCTCTAAAACAAGGGCTGGAATGAAGTTTTAAAATTCTGGTTACCTGGGAAAGGTCTGCAGGGGGGCATTCCTTTTTTTTTTGATACAAACTAATATAATTTTATACAAATAAGATCTCATATGTTTTACTTATGATATCCCTCTCCTGAACTCTAACTCTCCCTCCCAAATCAGTAGCTAAACTTGCTTCTTGCCTCACCCTCCAAGAAAGCCACATTAATACTCTAGTATAGCTTCTTCCATATTTTCCTCTGTACCCCCATAGTCTAACACATTTTTCACATACACATACACCTCAAGGTTGGACATTCCTTTATTTCTTATTTTATAAAAACAGGATCACAGTATACAGTTTTCATTATCCTCCTTTTCTCATCCACTTTTATACTGATAAATTTATTCTCAAGTACAATATTGGTAAGCTATCCCTCCTGGTTCTGCTGCACTCACTCCCTCAGATAAGCTATCCTCCACGAACCACAGCTTTTGAGTGAAACCCACAAAATGACTGCAAATCTTGGGGTAAATAAATCATGCTATATGGTAAAGACATGTTTACTTTCCAAAGAACATCAGAGCATATGAACTAATTCTTATATTCTTATTTACTACTGAGATGTTTTCCATGAGTGAAAAAAGATCATAGCATATCATCACTAAAAGAGACTTTAGAGATTATCTAGTCTGGTTTGTTTGTTTGTTTGTTTGTTTGTTTGTTTTGGAGGGGTGAGGGGTGTACCACCAATAAACAAGGATTCATTTGGAAACTTCCAAACCTGCCTAACGTAGCAGTTTCCAAGCCCTAGCCCCAACCTCCTTACGAGGCTCCAAATGGCAACGAGTTCTCCCCTCTTTCCCCTCCCCCCGACACCCAAGGCAATGCCAGGGAATTTGAGTGTCTCCTTCCTCCAGGAGGCTTTAGAACCCTGGGCCCAAGAGCTGGGGTGGCAGCCCCTCTGGGATCCCAGGAGATGAGGCAGCCAGAGCTGCTTACGTAGACTAAGGAAAGAAAATAAGGGAGGAGGCACCGAATATGGCTCCCTGAAAAACCCCAACTGATCCCCTGTACAAAAAAAGTGGCTCTTGCAGAGAAGAGCCTGCTCCCCAAGTAGTGTAAATACCCAAAAGAAAGGGAAAACCCAGCAGCAAGGCTGGGCTGGTAGGCATGGCAAAGAACACTGATTTAGAAAGGCTAAGATTAAATGTAAGCTGTGCCCCCTCTTCCTTGCCCTGCTCCCCAGAGCCAGCTAGGGCACTTGCTTGTCCGAAGGGGGCGTCTGTAAACAAACAAAGCCAGTGGCCTTTCATATTGAAACATCTCCATTACAATGTCAAAGCTAGGCCTCCAGGAGTACTACCTGGGCCTGCCTGCAGGGGGAGAGGCATCAGTTGTGAACCCAATTAAAGCCAACAAAGGAAGTATTCAGGCTTTGCGGAGCCGAGCAACAAGGAATTCTATCACTACATTTATAAAACTAAAGCTAAGAAGCAGAGGGTGACATGAAATACCGCTCAGTCCCCTCCTGATCCTGTGTCTCAGCCTCAGATGGTGGTCCCTTCCAGGCTGAGGAGAGGATGGTTCCAGGGCTGGGAGGAAAGGAAGGGATCCCTGAACAGTCAGGTCAGGTGAATTTGCAGCATCTGTTCCACCTTTGCTCCTGCACTTTGGCAAAGATGGGCCTTCTCCCTGCTTCCTGGGCCCAGGGCCAGTGACAGAAAGCAGCTCATCTCTTCTTCTCAGGATTCCCAATCACATCAGTGATGATATTGAGACTTCGGAGCTGGGGACAGAGCCATTCCTGGATTAAGTCCTGGGGGTAGGTGCTAAAGCTGAGGCATGAAATCCCTTTGGGTCTTCAGCTGATAGATGAATCCAATGGTCTCATGGATCTTGACATTAGAGGAGGTAATCTACTGATTGGTGGTAGAGGCCAGAAAAGTGCTCATCTGGGCCTTGAGGAGGTCCACATTAATGTCATAATAGGCTGTCTTCTTCTGGTCATTACGGCCCATGTTAATGACATGGTTGATGAAAACGGGGTCCAGATGCTGCAGCAACTGAGTCAGCTTCATGGGAATTTCACAGAAACAGATTTGACCACAACTGAAGATCTGGCGGAAATGACAGTTGCAGCTGATGTACTTGTGCTCGTGCCTGTCCCACAGCTGGCTGTATTTGATGTAAAGCCACGGGGCCTGCATGACGGCAACCCGCGTCTGTGTGTGCACTCCCAGCAGCCTCGCCAGTCCGGAGTCCAGCTTGTACTGGGGAGGCTGATGATTCAGCAAGAGCAGGAGGGTGCACTTCATGTGGAGGTCTACGGGCTGTTTCACCTGGAAGCCATCTGTCTCCTGCGTGGTGGGCATCTGATGCCACTCTACCAGGTGGTTATCAGGCCCACACAGTTCCTTGTCTAGATCAATGATGAGGCTCTTAAAGAAGGACAAGAACTTCCTCTTGTTTGCTAGAATCATCCGGGAATTTTCCCTCCACTAGGAATTTCCAGGAAGCCATTTTGTCTCTTGCTGAAGTTCCCCCAGGGGGCCCTACGGTACCTGCACTGTGACCTTGCTGGGACTGAACTTACTGGAAATATAAATGTGCAGCTTTCATTTTTTGCTTTAGAGGCTTTTTGATGACCTCCTGGATCTCCATCTGCTTGTGAGCAATGGTCTGGTCCAGCTTCCACTCAAAAGCCAAGAGATCCATGTACACCTGAGACTCTGGGACAAGCTCCTGAATTCGCTGAGGTAGAACTTTATCTCCATCTTCCCCTTCTTTCACCCCTGTAGCTGTGCAGGCATCAGGGGCTGGAGCTGGGACACAAGCAGGCATTTCTGTAATGGGTCCATCTTGGTGGGTGGCATGCCAGGTCGAAGTGGAGTAGTTGTGCCAAATGGGGAGACCACAGCGGTCCCATCTGAAAGCCAGCCATGGGTGTCCGGCTCCCTGGGGACATGCCAGGCCACTGGTACTGTACTGCGGGGCCCATGCAGTGAAAGGAGGTGGCTCTGGGGCCCCCGCACCTCCAGCTGGCCCCAGGCTCCTCAGTGCCAGTCCGGGCAGTAGGCTGGGTCCAGCTGTCAAGAGGCAGCATGCCCTAGTCCCGTCTTTTGAAAGATGAAACACCATATAAATTCCCCTAGTTGCAAAATACTAATTCTTATTCTAGACAACCAAGTAACAGAGTAACATATAAAATCATTCCATACTCATTTCCTTTGGTTTAAAATTATGCATGACTCATTATTCTGAAAAATGGTAAATAAAGAAGAGTCAAGCATTTACCCTGCTATTTCTATACGAACTATACTTCAGGGTAACCAAGCAGCTGGTTTGGTAGTTTGCAGGCATAAAAGATTCTAAACTTGAGACGTTTCTTGTGGTCCTTGGTAAGTGGATCTTGTCTGGTTTCAGATTTTTTGCACGTGAAAGAAATGCTCAACATTATTATCCATTGGGGATATGCAAATCAACACCTCAATGAGATATCACTTTAACCCAGTAGGATAGGTATAATGAAAGAGACAAGTGTTGGCGAGGATGTGGGAAATCAAAACTCTCATACAAGGCCGGGAAATGTAAAATGGTGCAACAGTTGTGGAAAACAGTCTGACAGTTCCTCATAAAGTTAAACATAGGTGGAAACTACCCAAATGTCTATCAACTGATAAACAATAAAATGTATATCCACACAATGGAACAGTATGAGGCCATAAAAGGAACAAAATACTGATACATATTACAATATGGATGTTATGAAAATATTTTTCTGTGAGAAAGAAGCCAGTCTTAAAAGATCACAAACTGTATGACTCCATTAAAATGAAATGTCCAGACTAGGCAAATCTGTGGAGACAAAAAGTAAATTAGTGGTTGCCGAGGGATGGAGGAGGGTTTGGAGAAGTCGGGAGTCACTGTTTGATAACAGGGTTTCTTATTGGAATGATGAAAATCTTCCTAAATTAATAGTAGTAGGAGCCATGGACCTGCCTGGACCTGAACTCCTGTGCCAGATGGTGGCATCAGTGGCAGCTGGACCAGGATCACTGTCAAAAATCATTAAGGTAGAATTAAAGCTAGACTTCTGGTCAGGGTGGTGGCACAGGTAAACATGGCTGCCCTCTGTGCACAACCACATCAAAATTACAACTAAATTTTAGAACAACCATCACTTAGAACCATCAGAACTCGAGCTGAATAGAACTCTGACTACTATGAATTAAAGAAACCACATCCATCCAGACTGGTAGGAGGGATAGAGATGCGGAATGGGATGGTCTCACATCCATGTGTGGTGGGTAACAATTGGGGAAGGGTATCTCAGGAGCAAGGGGTCCCAGCCCACACCAGGATCCCCAGCCCAGGGTTCCAGGGCCAGGAAGATAAGTCCCTATGACTTCTGGCTGCAAAAACCCACACATGGACTTACTCAGACTCTCTCCCTCTCAGCTCGTGTACTAGGGAAGCAGCTTGAAAGGTACCAGTGGCTTACAGGGAGGTACTGAAGTGTCTGGTATCAAGGTGGGAGCTGCAGGGCAGTTTACTCCCAGACAGAGATGCAGGCAGAGGCCACTGTCCCTTTTCTGAGCCCTCTCATCACAGAGCCACAGAGATGGCAGGCCAGTGCCGTATCTGAGACTCCTCAACCTGGCTAACACTGTTTGCCCTGTCCCAGAGATCCCCTAAAAACTACATCCATTGGACTTAGGAGCCCACCCAAACTGTTAACCATGACATCCATATGAATGGCTGGCCTTGGATCATGCTTCAATACTTCCTAAGTCCTCTCAAACAAGTGACGGCTGGCCTCGGTGAGCATCCAGAACCTGTACCTCTTGCACCTCTAAGTGGCCCTAGACCTATCACTAGCAGCAGCCAGCCTAGATTCACAGCTTGGCTTCACCTGACACTCTCCAATCCTGACACAAGTAGCAGCCACCTCAGATTGCTTTATAGCTCAGGTAGGGTGGCCCAGGGAAAAACACAAGTGGGGGCTGACCTTGGCCTGCACCATCCAAGAAATCCCAGGGCTTGTGCACCCCATGAAAAGCTACAGGCCCTGTTGGAGCACCAAGACCCTGATCCTGCACAGCTGATCCTCCACAGAGGGTGGAGGTTAGTGGTCCGTGATCACAGCCAGTCCTTTCAGGTGAATGGCCTGGGTAAATCCCTCCCATTAATCTGCCAACAGCAACCAAGGCTCAACTGCAAGAGGAGGATGTGCTCAGCTTTCATGAAGGGTGAACCTTGAGTACCTAGCAGGGGTGAAACTGGAGGCTGTACCCCTGGACCCTACAGGACACCTACTACATTAGGCCATGCTACCAAACCTGGGAGACGTACAGCTCTACCTAATACATAGAAACAAACAGAGGGAGGCCGCTAAAATGAGCAGACAAAGAAACATGGTGCAAATGAAAGGACAGGTCAAAACTCCAGAAAAGAAACTAAACACAATGGAGATAAGCAATCTGTCAGATGCAGAGTTCAAAACACTGGTTATAAGGATGCTCAAGGAACTTAGTGAGGACCTCAGCAGCATAAAAAAGATCCAGTCAGAAACAGGCTACACTCATTGAAATAAAAAACAACTTACAGGGAAACAAACAGTGGAGTGGATGACGCTGAGAATCATATCAATGATTTGGAACATAAGGAAGCAAAAAACAACCAATCAGAACAACAAGCAGAAAAAAGAATCCAAAAAAATGAGAATAGTGGAAGCAATCTCTAGGACAACTTCAAGTGTTCCAAAATTCGCATAATAGGGGTGTCAGAAAGAGAACAGAAAGGACAAGAAACTAGAAATCTATTTGAAAAAATAATGAAAGAAAAATTCTCTAATTAGGTCCAGGAAACAGACAGGCTAATCCAGGAAGCACAGAATCCCAAACAAGATGGATGCCTGCCAAGACGATACAAAGAGATCTGATTAGATCACTGCGGGGGAGGAACGAGAGGGGCCCGTGGGAAGCTGCGTGAGGCAATGGTAAACATCTAGGACAGGACTGGCTGAGAAGCTGAGTGCCTCCAGAGGTAATGGAATTAGGGGCTGAAGACCTAAAATAAAAAAAGGGACGAGGCTGGCTCTGGGGATCTCTTCTTCAAGGATGCCTGGATGATCACGCTGCAACTTGCTTTTGTTTCCCAAAAGATGGAATTTTGGATGGGAGAAGAAACTCCAGGTGCAGCCTAGGATCAAGCTGGCCTGGCAGAGGATGGCAGGGTTATTCATCTTTCAGTGTTCTAGATGGGACAAGGTCTGAGGCAGAAGCCTGCCATTCTTCCAAAATTGTGCAGCTTTTGTATCTTATGTTGTTTTAGTTTGTAAACTAATCTTACAGAAGTAAGATAATTACAAACTAACAGGGGAATGATAGAACAGAGATGTTAAAGATTTTAGCCTTAACTGAATTCCTAAGTGATTAAAGCTGTTAACTAAAGAGTTAAAGAGTTTAGCCTTAATTGATAGGCTTAAGTGATTAACACTGTGACTAATGTATGTGGAAAGATATTATTCCAAAACTGTGTTGCGTTTGAATAAAGATTCCTTTCATCCCCAAACCTTTTGTCTCAGAATTTTGCCCAGAGGGAGGCGGTGGGTAGCAGGACCCAACTTGCTGTTTGGTAACAAGACACATCATAATTAATATGCCGAAAGTTAAAGATAAAAGCAACAAGAGAAAGCAGTTAGTTACCAACAGAAGAGCTCCATAAGACTGTCAGCTGATGTATCAAAAGAAATTTCACAGGTTAAAAAGGGCTGACAAGAAATATTCCAAGTCATGAAAAGCAGGGACCTACCAAGATTGCTGTACCCAGCAAAGCTATCATTTAGAATCAAAGGGCAGATAAAGAGCTTCCCAGACAAGAAAAAAACTAAAGGAGCTCATCATCAGCAAACCATTATTATATAAAATGATAAAGGTACTTACTTAATAAAAAGATCAAAACTATGAACAATAAAATGGCAAAAAATACATATGTATCGACAACTGAATCTAAAAAACAAACTAACCAAACAAGAAGAACAGAGACAGATTTATGGATACATAGAGTGTTTCGATGGTTGTCACACAGGACAGGGGTGTGAGAGAAATGGTGAAGAGGGGAGGGGATTAAGTACAAATAGGCAGTTACAGAATAGCCATGGGGACGTAAAGTACAGTAGAGGAAATGGAGTAGCCAAAGAACTCACATACATGCATGACCCATGGACATGAACACTGGTGAGGGGACTGCCTGAGGGAGTGGGGAGGTGCTGAGTGGAGGGGGATAAAGGGGGAAAAAATCAGGACAAATGTAATCAATAAATATAACCAATAAAATTAAAAGAAAAAATCAACAGTAGTGATTTTGCACAATTCAGTGAATATACTAAAAACTATTAAACTGTACACTTTAAATAGGTGAATTATATAATTTGAATTAAACCTCCATAAAACTGTTATAAAACAACAAAAAACATCTTCCTTACCTTATGTTTAAATGGTAAACACCGCTGAAGTTTTACTCTTAAGCACAATCCTGGGAAGGAACAAAAAAAAGCCCCAATTATCCCTTTTTTACTGGTTTTTGAAAGAGCATACAGCTATGTCCAGGTATCTCCATATAATAGAGGAGTAGAAAACAGCTTTGACTCAATCCATTGTAGGTTTCCTTTAGTGTTACACCATGCTAGCAACTTTAACATAGATATAGTCTTACATATCTCTTATAATAATCCAGTGAGCTAGGTATTATCAACCCCAGTCTACAAATTATGAAACCAAGGTCACAATGTAACTTGCCCAAGGTCACTGAGCTAGTAAAGTGGCAGAGTGAGGATTGGAACCCTAGATTACTGCAAAGCCTGGGTGCTTTCTACTATATCAATTCGCCTACAAGCAAAGGTCAATTCACTCATTAAACTTTACTGAATGCCCACAATTGGCCGGGCCACATAAAAATTTAAAACCAAGTAAGAGGCACTTAAAAAGGACCACAAGAAATCTCTCAAAGCTGGAATCCTCCATGCCTGCAAGATACAAAGGTGTTTTCCTAAAATAAGTTCCTCTGAACTTTAGTTTATCACACCGATGCCAAGACACAGTTCTATAATTTTTTTTTCCAGTTGAGACTTAGAAGAGAAATTAAATCTGGACTTGGAACGGATCCTCAGTGCCAATGTTCCACTTCTTCCCCACCTCAAAATATGAAATGAATCATAAACTACACTCCTAAACACAGAAGATATATCAAACTGCTCTTATTATGAAGAGAAAGTGTTTCACTACAGAGTTTTGACTTTGCAGGCTTTTATTTGGAGCATTTCCTTTCTCAACTAATACCTAGGTCTTGTTATGGTATAAGGAATATTTCTTAGTATTTTGATTTGATTAAAAATAAACAATAATAACAAACCCCCAAACCAGCCCAACACAGCAAAATACAACTGTTAAAGACTACCTGTTTTTTTGGAAGTAGGAAATTAATTTGCTTTTGGTCTTCTAGGCACCAGTAGGTTTTCTAACAGAACCATTTTAAAAATCCCAGAATAAGTGAAAGGATTAGATGAGGTATAATGAGACTGGAGCTAAATTAAGAATCTAGAATATAGTAATTCCATTATACATATTAAGGAACTCTAATGAAAATATGTAATTTCTTTAAGAGTATTCCTTTAGCCTATCTGGAGAGCTCTCTTCCCTCTGCCCTGACATTATCTCCTTGTTAGCTGGGTACCACCTGAGCATCCTCATGTGTTCTAGTGATTGCTGGTAGGTGTTTCACCCCTTAAGTAATAGTAACTATTTTACAATTCACGACAGGCTGTGTAGCATAACTGAGATAGTTACTTTGAGTTCAAAAGAAGCTCCACTACACACTAGCTGTGTGACCTCAAGCAAGTTACTTAACGTTTCTGAGCTCCTCTGAAACAAGTATTATGATAGCACCACTACATATAAGGTTGCTAGGAGTAAATAAACTTATACAATATACTTAAATCAGTACTGGCACACAGTAAGTATCCAATAAACGATAGCTAATGCTATTTTATCATTTTCATTTTAAAGACAAGATCCAAGATAGGTGATTTGTTAAACATCACAAAGCTAACAAGTGGCAGAGCTAGAAACTTATTCTAGACCTTCCCATTCCAAATCTTATGCCCTTCACATCCGGGCCATACATGCCTTCCCGTCATTCTTATCTAGACTAACTCAACACAAATGACTATCAGCTGTTTTCTCTGCCTTGCCTACTCATTCCCTTTGAGCCTTCCTTGTCTTTGTAATTGCTTACCAGGGTAAATCTGAGTAGGTGACGACCTAAGCAATCAGGATGGAACTCTTACTCAGGTGCCTTTCCTTGCTTAGTACTACCTGTTCATAGGAAATGCCTCCCAATACATCAGCCAGTAAGAGGGCTCTTATCCAGTTTCCCAATCATGTTGTTTGAACACAATTACTATGATATACTGCTATACTACCATGTAAAAAGGGTCTTAACTAAAACCTGTATCAGAAAAGCGACAAAATTTTGTAAAGATCTAGAAGGCTTATGGTCAAGATGGCAGCATAAGTAAATATGGCTCACCTATGTGCACAACCACATCAAAATCACAACTAAAATATAGAACAATCATCCCTCAGAACCATCAGAAGTCAAGTTGAATGGAAGTCTGACAACTACGAAATTAAAGAAACAACATCCATCCGGACTGATAGGAAAGGCAGAGACAAGGAGTGGGCTGGTCCCACACCCACGTGTGGTAGATAAAAATTCGGGAGAGATATATCAGGAGTGAGGAGTCCCAGCCCCACACCAGGTCCCCGAGCCCAGGGCTTCAGTGCCAGAAAGATAAGTCCCCATAATTTATGGCTGCCAAAACCACCAGGGATTCAGTCAGTGGAAGAAACTTCTGGGGCCCCAAGCAGTTCCTCCTATGGAACCCACACACAGACTTATTCAGACTCACTCCCTCTGAGCTCTGGCACTAGGGTCACAGCTTGAAAGGAACCAGTAGCATACAGAGAGGAATTGAAGCGTCTGGCATCAAGGCGGGAGCAGGGGATAGCTTTCTCCCAGACAGAAACGTAGGCAGAGGCCATTCCCTTTCCTGACCCCTCCCCCAACAGAGACACAGAGCCAGCAGGCCAGTGCCATATGAAATTCCATCAACCTGGCTAACACTTTGTCCTGCCACGAGCTCTCCGGAGACTCCATCCCACCCAACTTACAGACCAACCCAAACTGTTAACTGTGGCTTATCCATATGAATGAATGGTCTTGGGTCATGCTTCACAACTTCCTAAATCCTCTCAAACAAGCAACAGCTGGCCTCAGTGAGCATCCCGGACCTGCACCTCTTACTAAGTGGCCCCAGACCTGTCACTAGCAGCAGCCAGACTAGATTCACGCTTGGCTTCACGTGGAAATCTCCAAGCCCAGCACAAGCAGCAGCCATCTCAGATTGCTTTATAGCTCAGGCAAGGAGCCCTGGGCAAAACACAGATAGGGGCCGACCTGGGCCTGCCCCACCTGGGAAACCCAGGGCCTGCGCACACAGTGGACAGCTACAGACCATATAGGAGCACCCCCACCCTACCCCTGCACAGCTGATCCTCCACAGAGGGTGAAGTTTGGTGGTCAGTGGTCATAGCCAGGCCTTGCAGCTGACTGGCCTGGATAAAACCCTCCCCCTGACCTGTCAACAGCAATCAAGGCTCGACAACAATAGGAAGGTGTACTCGACCTTCATGAAGGGCGCACCTTGAGTACCCAGCTTGTATGATAGAGGAATCTGTGCCATTGGACCCTACAGAACTTCTACTACATTAGGCCATGCTACCAAGACAGGGAGTCATAGCAGCTCTACCTAATACATAGAAACAAACACAGGGAGGCTGCCAAAATGAGGAGACAAAGAAACATGGTGCAAATGAAAGAACAGATGAAAACTCCAGAAAAAGAACAAAATGAAATGGAGATAAGTAACCATCAGAGGCAGAGTTCAAAACACTGGTTACAAGGATGCTCAAGGAACTTAGTGAGGACCTCAACAGCATAAAAAGATCCAGTCAGAAACAGAGGCTGCACTAAATGAAATAAAGAACAATTTACAGGGAAACAAACAGTAGGGTGAGTAAAGCCAAGCACCAAATCAATGATTTGAAACATAAGGAAGCAAAAAACAACTAAACAGAAGAAGAAGAAAAAAGAATCCAAAATAACAAGGATAGTGTAAGGAGCCTCTGGGACAACTTCAAGCATTCCAAAATTTGCATTTCAGGGATGCCAGAAGGAGAAGAAAGAGAGTAAGAAATCAGAAGTCTATTTGAAAAAAGTAATGACAGAAAATTTCCCTAACTTGTTGAAGAAACAGGCATGCAAGTCCAGGAAACAGAGAGAGTCCCAAACAAGATGGATACAAAGAGGTCCACTCTAAGATACAACATAATTAAAATACCAAAGGTTAAAAATAAAGAGAAAACTCTTAAAAGCAACAAGAGAAAAGTAGTCACTTACCAAAGGGGAGGTCCCATAAGATTGGCAGCTGATTTCTCAAAAAAAACTTTGCAGGCTAGAAGGGACTGGCAAGTAATATGAAAAGCATGAAGCTAAGTCAAGATTGTTCTGCTCAGCAAAGATATCATTTAGAACTGAAGGGCTGATAAAGAGCTTCCCAGGCAAGGAAAGCCTAAAGGAGCTCATCATCACCAAATCATTATTATATGAAATGTTAAAGGGACTTATTTAAGAAAAAGAAGATCAAAACTATGAACAATAAAATGGCCAAAACTACATATCTATCAACAATTGAATCTAAAAAACAAACTAAGCAAACAAGAACAGAGACAGAATCATGGATATGAAGAATGTTTTGACAGTTGCCAGGTGGGAGGAGGTGTTGGGGGGATGGATGAAGAGGAGAAAAGATTAATAAGTACAAATAGGTAGTTACAGAATAGCCATGGCAATGTAAAGTACAGTTTAGGAAATGGAGTAGCCAAAGAATTTATACACGTGACCCATGGGGGTGCTTGGGTAGAGGGGGGTAAAGAGGCAAAAATTGGGACAATTGTAATAGCATAATCAATAAAGTATAATTTTAAAAATTTCCCTAAAAAAAATAAACAATCATCTATTCAAATTAAAAAAAAAAACACAAAAAACTTCCAACAGATCTAAGATATCAACCATAATCTAACCTTGGCACCTTTACATAGTTATTTTTATTTTATGTGCTCTCTCAACCCTATAAAGTTTTTTCAATAACTGCCATAATAATTAAATTCAAGTTAATCTTCAAGTTTTTTTATACATTTCTCACAGATATTTTGATTCCTTGATTATATTCATTATTTTAACAGAAATATGAAATCCCATCATATTGATGTCATTTATTAGATACTATAGTTTCTTCCAGATTTCATTATTATAACTTTACCATAAATGTTTTGTACTTGCCACTATTTCCTTCAATGGAATTATTTTTTTAGTTCCTGGGCCAGAATAAAAATTTTTTAATGAGGATTTGCTAATACATACCCAGATGATTAAAAATATTTATTCTTATCTATATCTTTTACACTTGATCTTAGCCAAAAGGCATAGGAGTAATTTATATATACATAAACATATTTAATGTATTGATTAATTCTTGTAAGTGGAATTATTGGGCCATATGGTATAAATATTTTTAACCCTCTCCCTGGCCAGGTAGCTCAGTTGATTAGAGTGTTGTCCTGATATGCCAAGGTTGTAGGTTTGATCTCTAGTCAGGGTACATACAAGAAGCAACTGTTGGAATGGGGAGGGGACAGTACAGAGGAGGGCAAAGGCAGAAAGACTGGGACAACTGTAATAGTTAAACAAAAATAAAAAAAAAAGTTTCTCTCTCTAAAATCAATCAATAAGTTAATTAATTTTTAAAAATTTATCCTGATGCAAAAACTAGTGGTAAAGTTGTTCATTACAGTATTAGTTATAATTGTGAAAAGTCAGAAGTAGTTTAAATAGGTTATAAATATTATACTATATTTTTGAGATTAGCATGTAACCATTGTAACTATATAACTGAATAACATTTAATGAGGAATAAAGACTTTCAGCCAAGATGGAGGCGTAGGCAGATATACTTTGTCTCCTCACACAACCAAAAGAAGGGCAACGACAAATTTAAAAACAAAAAACCACCAGAACTGCCAGGTAATCAAACTGCATGGAAGTCCAACAAGCAAAGAATTAAAGAAGAAACATTCTTCTAGACTGGTAGTAGGACATCCAGCAAGGTGGCAGCTGGAGGACTGGGCGGGCAAGACAGCAGCTGGCAGTCCCACATATGCGTGCAGGTAAACTGGGAGGAACAGGGAAGCAAGACAGACCATGCAACCCAGGGTTCCAGCATGGGAAAAGACAGCCTCAAAACCTCTGGCTGTAAAAACCTGTGGGGGTTACACATAATTTTTTATAACAACTGACTTTTACTTTCTCTTTATGCTTTTGTAGTTTCAAAATTATTGCCAAACATGTTACTTTTAAAATTGAAAAAAACACAAAATAAATGTTACATTGGAAAAATCAATTTGCAATAGGCTCTTACAGTAGAGTAATGAACCATCTATTTAAGGATTCTTATACATCAAAATATTTTAAGACACCTCCTTCATATCAGGATAACAGCAGTACTTTCAATATCGGTTGCTTCAGAATTTGTCCAATGACAAAAAGTAAGTAAGAATTCAACAATGCTTTTTCTAGCATTGGAATTTTAATAACTACAATAGTATCTATGGTTTAATGGACCTTCAAGATAAGATGTAGCCCAAAGGCTGGAAACCACTAATAGAGGAATCCCAGGTCAACAAGTGAGAAGAGAAACACAGAAATCACAATGATAGTGGGAGCAATAATAAAATATTTCCCTGTTCAATCCTTTTTATAAACTCGTCTGTCTTTAATAGGCAATATGTTCCCATGGTTCAAAAACTTAAAAATACAGGGTGGGGCAAAGTAGGTTGTAGGTTTACAATTGTTCGTATGGAAAATAATACAATAATTAATAAATAATAATACAAGAATAAACTGTTTCATGTACTCACAAATGTAAACCTACTTTGCCCCATCTTATATAAAAAAGTATACATTAAAGTCTCCCTCGCATCCTGTCCTCCATCTGACCAGTTCCCACCACCAGTACTGCCCTTCCCCAACCACAGCTATTCATTTTCTTAGGTATTCTTTATGCATATGCAATCAAATACAATGTACATTTTTGTCTTTTTTTACACAAATGTCACAATGTTATATAACTGCTCTTACTTCCTAACAGTATATTAACGAGATCTTTCCATATTAGTACCTGGAGAGCATCTCCATTGTTTTTTTATTGCTGCACAATATTCCATTGCTAATATACATAACATCACTGATTATTTAATCAATTGGCTACTGATGAAGATTTGGTTTGAAATAAAATTCCTTTATTTTCTTTACAATGTATATAATAGGTAGACACCTATACATGCCTATTGTATATCTTACTATTAACTAATCCAAGACAGTGGAAATGCAGCCTCTCAAATACAAAATTATCTCAAAAAAATACCCTCTCGCCAGAACATCTGCCCTTATTACACAGATGCCAACAGAACAGCTTAAAAGGAGAAGACAGTGATGGCACTAGTGCTAGTCTGACAGCATCCATTTCAGTCTCCAAAACTGAGAAGAGATATGGCCCACACCCACTCTCCATTAACTGTAGGCATGTACACCTAAGGGAAGCAGCACCTAAAGGAGAAACACATATGAAGTCAGGTGATCTGGGTTTGAGTCTCAGTTTTGCCACTTCTTGGCTATATGATTCTGAGCTTAAACTCTCTGAACCTCTGATTCCTCATCTATAAAATGAAGATAATACAATACTGACGCTCTCATAAGCTAATTGTGAGGAGTACAGAAGATGGATACAGCCGTCCCTCAGTAGCCACACAGTCGTCCCTTAGTACCCACAGGAAATTGGTCCCAGGACCCCTCCAGTATATCAAAATTCATGGGTGCTCAAGGCCCTTATATAAAATGGCATGGTATTTGCATATAACCTATACATACCTTCCTGTTTACTTTAAATCATCTCTAGATTACTCATAATACCTAATACAATGTAAATGCTATGTAAATAGTTGTTACATTGTATTGTTTAGGGAATAATGACAAGAAAAAATGTCTGAACACATTGAGTACAGATGCAACCATCTTAGGTCTAGCCATGTAGTACATTTCAGAAAAACGTCACTTTTTTTCCCTCAAATATTTTTGATCCCTGGTTAGGTGAATCCACCGATGTGGAACCCACAAATATGGGCCACGTGTACATGAAAATACTCTGTAAACCATAAAGTTGCGATACATGATGCTAATTTCTCTTGTGGGTCAGTATCAGCTAGAATAATTTAGAATTAAATATATATGTGTACAAAACCTTACCAATAAGAGTCGCCAAAGAGCAATGAGGTACTGTTGGCGTGAACCTGATAATAACCAAATAGTCCTCCTCATTTATCTCCTGAACTTCCACACAACTTTCCGTTACCACTTCCAGTTCTTCCAAAGTATTGGGCTTCTCTGGGTCCCGGATAGTTCGAATCAAATCTAAAGAATCAAAACAGACAAGGTATTATGTAAAAACACAAATATTCTAAATATGGATGATTTTGCCACTCCTAATCAAAAAGCACACTCTTCTTTGTATTTAGGCAAAGACTAGAGTAACTCCACAGATTTCTGACAGGAATTTCCACTACCAGTTTCCTTTTGAGAAAACTGTTTTCTTGGATTATTATTAGATGATATCCAGTGTCTTGGATTCAACATTGCAGAGAGAAAACAAGAATGGGGAAAGCATCATAGAAGCTCATGAGGAAGAAGTAACTTTTAGCTTACGAGAAAGCAATATCGGGATTTATGAATGTGGAATCTGAATCAGGCCTTTAAAAATGGGTGACAGTTTAATAATCAACCTTTAGGGTGAAAGAAAGTTAAGAACCAGAAATTTAGTTTGCCTGGAACCCAGTATAAATGAAGAGGATAGAAGAGCTTGGGCCAAACCACCAAGGCACAGAATGTCCTCAAGAAGTTTTGAACAATGGAGTGACACGGACACCATTACAGTGTCAACTGGTAATTCATCCACCAGATAAGAGACACAGAACTAAAGAGCAGAGCCAGGGATACCAACAGAAAAGCAGGGCCTAAAACAGGCACCTAACAATGGTAACAGAGAGGAGAGAGAGGAAGAAGTAATTTCTGAGGCAAAATCAACAGAATTTGACTACTATTTAAATGTAGCAAAGAAGGAAAGGAAAAGACTCAGATTTTTTTTAAAGAATCTTTTTTAAAAAAGATTTTATTTATTTTTAGAGAAGGGAAGGGAGGGAGAGAAACATCAGTGTGTGGATGCATCTCGTGCGCCCCCTATTGGGGACCTGGCCTGCAACCCAGGCATGGGCCCTACAGTGGGAATGGAACTGGTGACCCTTTGGTTTACAGGCCAGTGCTCAAGCCACTGAGCCACACAAAGCGAGGGCCCCGATTTTAAGTGTAAGTGTCTGGGAGAACACTGATAGAATTAAAACAACAGAACACAGGAATAAATTTGAGTGGGGGCTATGGCAAATGATTTTAATTTTATTTATAATGATTTTGTTTAAGGAACAAACCAATGGTACATTCCAGCAAACAATGAACCATGAACATAAGGTTAAGAGAGCACCAAGGCTACAGTGGCTGTTGAACCTACGAGGTTCACAAGGAAGAATGAGTAGAACAGTAGTTTTCAACCTTGGCTCAACAATGGAATCACTGGGAAAACTGTAAAAAAACAAAAACTGGGACTTTTGGTCAAGATGGCAGCATAGGTAAATATGGCTCACATCCTCACAAAACCACATCAAAAGTATAACTAAACTATAGAACAACCATAATTTAGAACCGTCAGAAATATAGCTGAATAGAAGTCCTACAGCTACAAAATTAAAGAGGTAACCACATCAAGGCTGGTAGGAGTGGTGGAGACATGCAACAGGCTGGTCCCACACCAATGTGTGGCACATAAAATTTGGGAGAGATATCTCAGGAGCAAGGGGTCCCAGCACCATACCAGGCCCCCCAGCGCAGGGTTCCAGGGCCAGGAAAATAAGTCTCTATAACTGCTGGCTGTAAAAACCAGCAAGGATGGAGGCTGTTGAAGACAGGAATGGCTGGAGCCTCAAGCAGTTCCTCTTAAAGGGCCCATGCACAGACTTACTCAAACTCACTCCCTCTGAGCTCTAGCACAGGGCAGCGGATTGAAAGGCATCAGACACATCCGGGGAGGAAGTGAATTGTCTGGTATCAGGGTGAGAGCTGGCAGGGCAGCTTTCTCCCAGACAGAATAGCTGGCAGTGGCAACTGTTCCTCTTCTGAGCCCTCCCCCCACAGAGCCACAGAGCCTGCAGGCCAGGGCCATATCTGAGATTCCATCATCCTGGCTCACACTGTTTTCCCCACAGTGGTGATTCCGAGGCCCTGCCCCACCCAGTGTTGTCACTGGCATTTCCACACAAACAGCTTGCTTTGGCCCATGCTTCAGATTTTCCTAACGTCTCTCAGCAAGCAGCATCTGGCTTCAGTGAGCCCCATATTTTTTGCTCAGTTGCGCCAGGCCCAGCACTAGCAGCAGTAGTCCTTGGCCTGCCTGGGCACCTCCTATCGCAGCACAAGCAGCAGCCATCTGCAGATCGCTTTGCAACTTGTGCTGTGTGACTCCAGAGAGAACACAGGCAATGGCTGACCTTGGATGTGCCAACAGCAATCAAGGCTCAACTACAAGAGGGTGTACACAGCCCACATGGTGGGTGCACCTTGAGTACCCAGCTTGGGTAAAAGGGGAGGCTGTGCTACTGGACCCTACGGGACACCTACTACATTAGGCCACACTACCAAACCTGGGAGACATAGCAACTCTACCTAATACAGAGAAACAAATACAGAGAGGATGCCAAAATGAGGAGACAAAGAAAAATGGTCCAAATGAAAAAACAGATCAAAAATCCAGAAAAAGAGCTAAACAAAATGGAGACAAGCAATCTACTAGATGCAGAGTTCAAAACACTGGTTTAAGATGCCCAAGGAACTTAGTGAGGACCTCAACAACATAAAAAAAGATCCAGTCAGAAATGAAGGATACACTAACTGAAATAAAGAACAATTTACAGGGAAACAACAGTAGTGGATGAAACCACAAATCAAATCAGCAATTTGGAATATAAAGAAGCAAATTTATCTAATCGAACAGCAAGAAAAAAAATTCAAAAAAAATGAGGACAGTGTAAGGAATCACTGGGACAACTTCAAGCACCCCAATACATCATGGGGGTGCCAGAAGGAGAAGAGAGAGAGCAAGGTATTGTAAATCTATTTGAAAAAATGAATGAAAACTTCCCTAAGTTGGTGAAGGAAATAGCCACACAAGTACAGGAAGTGCAGAATCCCAAACAAGATAAAGCCAATGGGCCTACACCAAAACACATCATAATTAAAATGCCAAAAGTTAAAGATAAAGAGAGAATCTTAAAAGCAGCAAGAGAAAAGCAGTTAGGTACCTACAGGGGAATTTCTCTAAGACTGACAACTGATTTCTCAAAAGGAACTTCGCAGGCTAGAAGGGACTGGCAAGGAATATTCAAAGTCATGAAAAGCAAAGACCTACAACCAAGGTTACTCTACCCAGCAAAGCTATCATTTGGAATCGAAGGACAGATAAGAGCTTCCCAGACAAGAAAAAGCTAAAGAAGTTCATCATCACCAAACCATTATTATATGAAATGTTAAAGAGTCTCCTTTATGAATATCAAAAATATGAATAAAATGGCGATATAAATACGTATCTATTCACAGTGACAAAATAAACAAACAAGCAGAACAGAAACAGAATCATAGATACAGAGAACATTTTGATGATTACCAGATGGAAGAGGGTCAGGGGGAGGAGCAAAAAAGGTGAAGGTATTAAAAAGCACAAATTGGTAGTTACAGAATAGTCATGGGGATATAAAGTACAGCATAGGGAACAGTATGACCAAAGAACATATACGCATGACCCATGGACATGTATAACAGTGTGGGGATCGCCTGAGGGAGTGGGGGACAGGGTGGAGGGGGGCAAAGGGGAAAATATTTGTACAACTGTAATAGCATGAACAATAAAATATAACTAAAAAGTAATAAAGTAATAAATAAACAAAAACTAATTTCTGAGTCCTATTCCCAGATATTTTGACTTAACTGATTTGTTGTATGGCTTGGGTATTGAGACTTTAAAAGACCCATAGATCTAGTTTAGGCATCAGGAGGAGGAAGAAAAACAAGCAGAGAAGGGAAGGCATGATGGTTAACATCAAAAGCTGAAGAAAAATTCAGGTTGACAAGAGTTAAAACAGGTCTTTGAGCCCTGGCTGGTGTAGCTCAGTGGCTTGAGTGCCGGCCTACAAACCAAAGAGTCGCGGGTTCAATTCCCAGTCAGGGCACATGCCTGGGTTGCAGGCCAAGTCCCCAGTGGGGATACGCAAGAGGCAACCATACATTGATGTTTCTCTCCCTTTCTTTCTTACTCCCTTCCCCTCTCTCTAAAAATAAATAAATAAAACCTTTAAAAAAACAAAAACAAAACAAGTCTTTATCACCCAGGTCCCCTGTAAGAAAGCAGTTTCAGTACAGGGGTGAAGGCTTCTGTTGGCTTGCAAAATGGGAAGTGACTGGGAACTGAAAATGTAGCTCTAGAGCTCCGGCAGGGAAGGACAGAGAAAAGACAAGTAGGTTTAGAAAAAGCTGGAACAATGACAAAGATAAGGGAAATTAGTACGATTCATAGCCCAAAGGGAAGGATCAAATAGAGGAAAAGAGACTGAAAATTTAAGAAGGGGAGGTGGGAAGACTGGCAAAATAAGCAGAAGTGAGACCAAGGATATGGGAAACTGGGTTGGCTTTGGAGAAGACAGATTTCCTTCCTACTCTGAGGTTGTAGAAAAAGATGAAAAAGGAGAATGTTAAAGAGAAGTAGTGACGTAGAAAGGACAGAAGCAGACTGGGCTTGATGTTCTCAAGTCTGAGATTTTGTTCTATTATTTATAGCACCCCTCCAATCAGAAATGCAGCTGGGAAAAACAAATCAATCAAATTTACCTTCTCCATAGCAACTCATGGCTTATCATTTGATTGGAAACAGAATTTGAAAACAGAGGCAGGAAAAAGAGGACACTGCTTCTCCTTCACAAGGCTGTCATCCCAGAGCTCAGGGAAACAAAGTTTTTTGAAAGAGAATTTGCTGCCCCTCATCCTATGCCTCTCCTCTGTAAGGCTCATCTATACAGGTTGCATTATAGTCTTTCTATGCTACTTAATCCTGAAATTAATTCTCATCCCCCTATTAAATGTCTCCAGTTTTCTAGTGATTTGAGAGATTTGACTTCTTTTAGAGATAAAGCAATGTTGCTTTCCTCACATTACTCCCCTGAATAAAATTTTTCTATGGTTCTGTGCTGACAGTCAAATCTTTATAAATAAACCTTTAGTATCCAAAACAATTTTTGACCATACCACTTTTAACCACAAACCACTATCTGCCATTCCCTAAACATGGTATTGTCACTTTAATATTTTTGCTCTAGATTTCTTCTTAATATGCACTCTAAACTCTATATGTCCAGATCCTAGTTCTTCGAGGCCCCACTCAAGTGAGCTCTCCTTAAAGTCCTTTCAGATCCCCAATCAGAATTAGTATCTATCCTTCCTCTAAATTTCTGTCTCTCTCAGGTCCATGGCCTTCTACTGCATACAATTAAAAAAATGATGTATTTGTAAATATTTGTCCCCCTCAATATAAGTTTGAAGACAACAATAATCCCTCTCTTCCATAGTTGTATACCCAGTGCCCTGCTGTCACTAGAAGCTGTAGATAGAGGCCCAACAGGACAAGTGTCCATTGACTTTGTGGAGATCATTCCACTCATATTGATCATCTGGCTGGGGTTGATTAGGCTCTGCCTCTGGCAAAAGAGAGGTAAACAAGATCAGCTCCAAAGGTCTTTTCCATCCCTGGTTTCCTCCTTCTGGTCTATAATCCTTACCTGTATTAAATCTGTATTTTTTAAGATTATATCTTTCACCCTTAGTCAGCAGGAATCTCTGAACATTAGTTAGGTCCACTTTTTCAGTTTTCAAAAATAATCTCTCTGGTGTGGTTCAGCGGGTTGAGCACCAGCCTGAAAACTGAAAGGTCTCTGGTTCCATTCCAGGTCAGGGAACTTGCCTGGGTTGCGAAGTCAGGTCCCCCGTTGGGGGTGTGAGAGAGGCAACCAATTAACCTTTCTCTAGCACATCGATGTTTCTGTCCCTTTCTCCTTCCCTTCCCCTCTCTCAAAAAATAAATAAAATCTTTTTTCTTTTTTTTTTTAAGAATCCTAAAAGGAAAGTCAGAGGGCAATTGTGAAGTGGTGGAAAGCGCACTAGGTTTGGAATCAGAACAGATAGACTTTAGTTTTTTCTTTACTGGCAGCGTGACATCCAGGTAGTTGTGTAACCATTCTAAACCTCTATTTCCTCATCTGTACAATGAAGATGGTCAGAGGAGTTACAAAGAGAATTGTGGTGGTGTGTTTTTTTGTTTGTTTGTTTGTTTTGTTTTGTTTTTTGCACTCCAGGCTTGGCTGTGTTAAGGAACAGTAAGTTCGAGGTCCGGCTATGAGGAGTCTATCTCGTCCTCTTCTCTCGGGGACCTCTGTCTATTGCCTTTGCAGCAAAAGTGACAGTAGCTTTGGGCCAGTCTCTGACTCGGCAGTCACACAGCAGTGCCCTCAACGGTGGCAGGAGGAGCGCGAGTCCAGGGATAGAAAAGGAACGGCTCAAGTAGTGCAACCAGGTCAGCTTTGCTTCCTAACCAAGCACCCTAGACGCCAGCTCTGCCACTAGGACGTGGGAGAGACAAGGGAAATGAAGCGTTTAAAACTTCCAGACTTGGCTTGCCCCAGCTTTAGGAAAAGCCGGGGTCCTACCAAGACCCACATTGCCGCGTGACTTAATACCCCGAAGAAAACGCTTCCCACGCTCCCGATGAGATCCAGCAAAAACCCGAATCGCCACGCCCAACCCTCAAGTGAGGTCCTCGTTACCCCCAGCCTCCACGAATAACGCCAAATACTACCCTAAGTAAAATTAATTACCATAAACCTCTAGCGCTTTCTCTTCCATGATCCGGGGCTGCCGGGCAGCTCCCCGCTCAAAGAGGCCCGAGAGCCACAGGACTCTGCTCAGCGTCCAGGAGAGCAGCCCAGACACTCGCTCCATCCTCGCGCTCCGCCATCCCTGGCGACTGTCCCACCCGAGCCACCGTCTTTCAGCTGCTGGCCCCGCGATTTATCAACTTCCTGGTCTTCAAAAGGGCCAAGACAAGGCTAAACGTTCGGGGCAACAGAAAATAGGCGGGTCTGAACAGAGTAGCGCGGAGGACCTAGGGAAGGGCACCACAAGGACAACAAGCCCCAGCGTGCTTTGCTCGGTTTCCGCGGGACTAGAGTAAAAAATTCCTCGCAGCACGTGAGGCGCGTTGCATAGTGGGTCGTATGGGACGTTTTCTTCGGAAGACAGCTGTATTGTGGGACGTGTAGTCTCCGTCGGGGGAGGCGCGTGGGTGGGATGCAACGGCCTATTACCACTGACTGCCTCACTCAACGCCCTCTATAAACTAAAGATGAGTCGTGAAGAGGTAGGGGAAAGCAGAGCTTGATGTCTAGTCCTGGAGGAGCGTGTGCACGGAGGCTCCTGTTATTTCTCCGAGGGCGACGCTTCCACCCAACGATTTTTACTTCCTTAGGCCGGAAGTGAGTTTCCGTTGCCGTAAAATGGGATGTCTTGGGAGCCCAGTAAAAAGATAGTTAGGCATGGCTGGGGGAAGGGAGGGCTTTTTGGCTTTTCTTGTCTCGTAGGTATTTAGGCCAGCAAAACTCCCCACTACGGGCTGAATGTTTCTGCCAATCGCCTTCAAAGACAGCTTAAAAGGAGATCTTTCCCTGTGTCCACTGCATCCAATAGTGACATTGGAGATCACCATCCTAAAAAGAATGCCGTAAGTCCACCTGGCCGTGATGAATACCAGTAACAAGTTTGATGATGTTACTTTTATCCATTCATCCCTCCAATCAAATCGCAAACATTTATTGAGTATTTAATTTGCCGAACTTGATCTATAGCCACCAAGGATAGGACAGGGTCCTTGCCTTCAGATAACATTTGTGAGGGAGCCAACCCCTGTTGTTGAGGAATTTGCAGTTAGAAAGAAACTAAATCTTTTTTCAAAGGCTATGCCAAGTTTTTTCTAATCTATTGAGAAGAAAGTCAGGATTATCTTGCAGAATTATCGCACGATAAAGTATCCCATTTATTTTATCTGTCTGATTTAGACTTTAGGCTACCAAACAACAGTGAATAGTTAAGGTCCTAGGAAAATTTTCTTCAGGGTTTAATAATTTCCCCGCCTTCTGTTCCACTTCACTTACTCCACAGCGATTGAGAAGGATGATCCCTGCAACCAAATTTAGGGCACTGAAGTTTCACTTCCTCTATGAGGCCTTCCGACCTTAACAAATAGAATCGATGATCTTTTACTGTGTGCTGGCACAGAAAATTATAGCGCTGAACTTGTTAATTTATACGCCTGTCTCCCTCAAGCCTCTCTAGAGGACCAGGAGCTTCTTTATTTCTCTATCTCAGGTGCATAGCAGGGTGCCAGGCACACAGTAGATGCTCAATATGTATTTCTTGAATGAAGTAACTAAATGTTATACAAAGAGGCAGAGGCGAGACTTCACTGCAACCTGTTCAGAGACCTCAGTCAAAAATATTTATTGAAGATCTATGAGGGCATGTGCGTGGCATGGGTAGGTGATATGCAGAGGTTTTCAGACTCCTTTACTCAAACGACATCTTAAGAAGCCTGTTGGGTACTATGCAGAGCACAAAGTGCCCTGCCAACCTGAGCAGCCCCTAGCTCCTCCTTTTCTGCCCCTTTGCCCTCTTGATTAAGATCTAAGAATCACGATCCGGGGCTCAGATTTGCTAGGCGGCGGCCTCGAGCCAGCCCCGCCCCCGCCCGAGCCTCAGGGTTGGTCAGGGCCATCCCACTCCTCGCTCCGCTGGAACGATTTGCTCGCGGCGTTTTCTCTCTATAAAGTTGTTGTTGCGGCTTCCGCCGCGGGTGTGGGAAGATGGCGTCGGGTGGTGGTGGCTGTAGCGCTTCGGAAAGACTCCCTCCTCCTTTCCCTGGCCTGGAGCCGGAGTCCGAAGGGGCGGCCGGGGGTTCAGAACCCGAGGCTGGGGACAGCGACACCGAAGGGGAGGATATCTTCACCGGCGCCGCGGCGGCCGTGAGTTCTCTCCTATAGGGGCGGCCAGGGGGCAAGCGGGTGCCCCAAAAGGGAAGAAAGTCTCAGTGAGGGTCGGAGAGGCTGGGCAGAGTGGACCAAACGAGACCTTGCATTGGTGACGGCAATCGTGGTTTGGGGATGCTAGACGAATGCCGAGACGTAGGACCTGGCTTCCCGGCCCCCGGGCGGACAGTGAGGAGTAAGGGCTGTGGTGGCTTCTCCGCCGAGTCCCTGACTGCGAAGAGTTGCCGAGGCCGGCGTTTGGCCCTGCCTTGTAGTGACCGAACGCACCCACGGAGCTGTTTTGCTGGTGGTTTCTTGCAAGTCAAGATTAGCGCATGGGGTGTAGTCTTCCCACTCGCCTTACTGCTCTGGCGACGAATAATGTTATCTGGAGTAGCCCAGGATAGTGACCCGCCCACAAATTTGTTCGTTAGCTCAACACTTACCTGTAATTACCAAAGGGCCTTTCTCGATGTTGGTTTATTTTATAAGCGTTAGTTTGACTCCTGATCTCTAGGAAAATCCTGCCAGAGTCTGTTGAAAAAAACGCCCTGCCAGATAAATCACTACACAGACTACAGGCTTTGTCCCTTTTAAAGGGATGTATTCAAATGGCTAAGTAATCTTAGTGGGAGCTAATATCTAAATGTGAGGAGGAAATGGTGTTGCCCATAGTAATACCATTCCAGTAAGAGTTTCTAGTAAGAGTTCGATTTTGGGAAAAACTAATCATTGTATGTGGAATGTGGAATTCAGTTATCAGTTCCAGAACCAGTGGAGATGTTTCGGGCTGTTTTGTAAGAATACTGAGTCATACAATTCTTTCCAGGTTGAAAACTTTATCAGCATTAGATCTGTGAATTTACGTATCTTTCTATCTTGGGTAATGCTTCTCCTCATAGTAGCAGCTCAGTGTATGAGTGACTAAATAATAAAACAACTTTAAATCCTTTATGCAGTATGTGCCTGAAACAGCTGCAGGCTTGTCTCATTTGTCAGTATAGGGGTTCAGAACAAGTCACCCCAAGATGTGCCTCTGTGGTATGCTGATTATTTTGAGCCAAAGGCAATTTTAGCCTCTAGCCCAAGAGAAACTTTTGCCCCTACCTAGAAAAACTTGAATTAGAGGCCTCGCCCATAACAGATTACCTCTTTTGACCTATCTGTAGGACAGGACAAACTTCTATTTACTGAGCATCTGCTCTTATCATCCTGCAATAACCCTTTGAAGCCCCCAAGGCACCGAACCTCATCTCCAGCTCAGGATGTCTTATATACCCATGTTCCTTTTCTGTCTCTGAGCCTTATTGTGTGTGTGTGGGGGGGGGGGGGGTCTCTGACTCTCATATATGCAGGGTTCTCGTATATATTGAATTTTTCTATTTTTCTCTTGTTAACATATGTCATGTATATTTGATTGTTTGACCAGCCAAAAGAATCTTGAGGGTCAAGGAAAGTTTGTTTCTCCTCCACTTCAAAAGAAGATTGTTTCTTGGAAGTATCTTCTATGACAGTTATTAGAATTTTCTCTGTATTGTATTCAGGAATTGAGTCCATAATCCCAGCTCAAAAAGCATATGCTGATACTAATATAACGGGTCGAACTGTTTAATGAAGTCTCTGTTACCCTGAGAAATAACTCTTGCTGTTAATTTAGACTTTCTGTATGCCATTTAAAACAAATGTTTAGTCTTTTCCTTTAGTTATTCTCCCATACACCATGGAGAACAGCTCCAACAGCTGGGTTGGTAGGTATTCAGACTGAATATCTGAAAATAGAAATTCTGGCACTGAGAATGATTGGTTGCATAGACAAATGATGGTTTTTGTTTTTTTAATTCTTATTTTATTTTTTTATTTAATGATTTTTAGAGGGAGAGAGAGAAGAAGGGAGAGAGAGAAAAACATCAACTTGTTGTTTCACTTATTCATTCATTCATTGATTGTTTCTTGTGTGTGCCCTGACCAGGGATTGAACCCACAACTTTGGCATATGGGACAACACTTTAACCACTTGAGCTAGTTACCTGGCCAGGGCTGACAAATGATGATTTATTTCCAAAAAAAAGGACCCCAGGAGGGTGAGGAATTATTTTGTAGAGTTACCTTAAAAAGTTCCAGTTAAATGATTAGATTGATCTAGCCATATTATTTTACAGATGCATCAGTACTTCTCTCTTGTAAGACTCTAAAAATACTTTGCCTAATTTCCAGCTAAAGAGAGAAGGAGGGAGTTAGAATGACCTTGTTGTACCACATAAAGCATAATTATTTTTTAGATTTTTGATTCAGGAAAAATGAGTTGCTGAGGAAACTAAAATGCCACTTGTAAGCCATTTTTTGTGCTGCCTGCCCTGCTGTTAATCTTCAGGAAGCCAAGACCCCCATCTGTGAATTTCTTGTTAAATAACTATTAAATACAAATTATATTTTAATACATGCTTTAGTTGTGAGCCAATGGGAGAAGATACAGGATTGCATTGCTTCTGTATCTTAAGAAACAACAATGAAGAATAAAGTAAGTAGGAGCATGGGCTTTGAAGTATGAATTAAATCCAGACTCTTTTATTTCCTGGCTTAACCTTGGGCAAGGTACTTAATTACTTTGTATAGTTTCCTCACACCTACAAAATGTAAATAATAATAGTATTTACCTCAGTGTTTTTTATGAGGATTGAATTAGAATATATACCTGTATTAATACTTAAGACAATTGAGCATTTTGTAACCTGAAATTACTTAATCAAAAATCCACGAAATCTCATCATGGATTACAAAGTTAAATTGATTAAAACTGATTAACATATTAACCAAAATGGTTAATATGTTTTGTCAAAATCAAACTCATGAAATTGATTTGATTAGCTAGAAGTCATCAAAGTAGATATCTTACTGATTTAACTTATCTTCATATTGTGTTTTGCTGCGTGTTAGAGGCAAAGAGAGGAACATTAAAGAATTGGGAAGTGAGGCATAAAAAACTTAAAACTCATTTATGGTATGCGTGTAATTTTCTGAATATTGATGTAACAGCTGCTGCTGTTAGTCATTCCATCTGCTCTCTTTTACAGCCCAAGAGGCTTTGTTAATTTCGTAATAAAAATGTAGTTTGATTTATAATCAAAAGG